GGATGGGATCATGTTTTCCTGCTGAATAGAACTAGAAAAAAAACATTAAAAAGTATTTCCTCCAACTTATTTGGGGGTGGCCATCCATAACAATTTCTGTGTTCCAAAATGTCATATATTGGGAACCATTTCACAATTGTTGCAGGACAGGGTGCAGACACACATAGCAAGTGGGTGAGTCGGGGAAGGAAGGAATGCTTGCATCTGTCATTTGGGGGTCTCAAGGGGTGGGTGGCCAGTGGCTGGGGGCGTTTTTAATCTTCCACTTTCCCTTTTTTCCTAATAAACTGCAATACCCTGCAGTTGACTGAAATCTGCAGTGTGCTTGCCTGACTTGGCGGGCAGGGCATGGTGGGAAAGGGGGAGTACTTGGACCCAGGAACCTGACAAGCAGGGATGGGATATCAGGCTGCAATTGAGAAGGAAGTGAGGTCACAAACTGGTTGTTAGAAAGATACCTTTTATTGAGCAAGCAGGCAAGGGAGCTCATGGATTAAAACCCCCCCAAAAACAACAAAATGGAAAAAGACAGTCAGACCTATGTTATAGAATGCCTGGTGTCTTCACACAAAACCATTTCACAGTGAACCAGTTTAAAACAGTACATGATTTTTCTGGGTATAGTTTTGAACCGTTTCAGATGTCTTTAAGCTGGTTTAAAGAGGCTTGTATGTCTGTTCGCTTCAGGCTTAATCTGTGTTATGTGTTTAAACCATTCTGTTATGTGTGCCTGTGTTCTGTACCAGTAGTGTTTAACCTTTTAGCCCCATGGGCCAGATGGGTGTCATGGGACCTGTCTGTGGGCCAGGTTCAGCCCTGGGCTCTGGCCACCCCACTTGTGTGCCCCAGGATTGGGTCCTAGGGCTCCCTCTTGCCCCCTGTGCACCAGGATTGTGTGCCAGGGATCTGGCACTGCCCCCTTGTGCTCTTCCCACCCCCTCCCCCCCAGGCACTTGGATTGGAACCAAGGAGCCTGGCATTGTATCCGCCCTGCACCCCATGTGTTGGAGTTGGGTCTTGTTGGCCTGGTACTGCCCCCTTTTGGCCCCTCACATCAGGATTGGGCCCTGTGGGCCTGATGTCTCCCCCACTTGGCCCTGTGCAGTTGGATCGAGTACTGGATCCAGCATGCAGGGCCTGGGACTCTGCATGAGTTAGAATATTTGGCACTGTTCCCCTGCCTCCAAATTTCCAGACCTGTAGAGAGCCCTGCTGACCAGATGACATGGTGTTGTGGGCCAGATCTCACCTGTGGGCCAGAGGTTGAGCAACCCTACTCTATACTAATGGTGTTCACTTCAGGAGAGATGTGGACAGCATCAAGAGGGTCCAGAGGAGGGCCACTCACATGATTAGGGGTCAGCAGGGTAGGCCCTACAAGGAGAGGCTATGGTACCTGAACTTGCTCAGCCTCCACAGGAGAAGGCTGAGAGGGGATCTGGTGGCCATCTACAAACTGGCCAAGGGGGACCAGCAGGCAATGGGAGAGTCCCTGTTCCCCCGAGCACTACTGGGAGTAACAAGGAACAATGGCCATAAGCTGACTGAGAGAAGGTTCAGGCTAGACATCAGGAGGCACTACTTCACAGTCAGGGTGGCCAGGAGCTGGAACCAACTTCCAAGGGAAGTAGTGCTTGCTCCTACCCTGGGAGTCTTCAAAAGAAGGCTAGACAGTCACCTATCCGGGGTTGTTTGATCCCAGCATCCTTTCCTGCCCATGGCAGGGGGTTGGACTTGATGATCTGCTTAGGTTCCTTCCGATCCTACCAACTATGAAACTATGTTCAATGTCTGGCCTGCAGAGCAGTGTCATTGGCCTGTGGGTTTTTCCCCATGTCCAGAAATTAGGTGGTGGGGTAGAAGTGGCACCATGAATTGTCACTACCTTGCTACCAAATTTTTGGACCGGTGATAAGCCCCATGGGCTGGGTGATGTGGCTGTGCATGCTAGATTGTTCCATGTGGTCAAAACTGTGTATGTGGGCTACATGGCTGGATTTGGGCATGTGGGGCCAGAAGGTTGAGTACTACTACTTTATATAGTCTCCCTGCAGAGCTTTGCTTAGCACCTTTCCTGGTCCCTTATTTGCCTGACTTTCTTATTGAAGCTTTAAAGAAACAATGCATGCACTGCAGTCTAACATTCAGACTGTAGGATGAATGTGTAGGACCAGCTCCTAGAATTATTTCAGTTTGTCTGATATGCAGCTCAGGTGCCATTAAAATTATCATTGCAAGCAGTACTGTGTTAAGTCAGCTTCACTCTAGGTTGCTTCAGGATGTGAAGAACTAGTAAACTGTATTTTTGTTGTTATTTTCTAAGTGTTCAGTTCTCTTACTTATGGTAAAAGTAATTTTGCCACAGCTAGCGGGTAGTGATTTAGTAATTCAACTTTCACATGCTGTTATTGAACATTCCCCATTTCCACAGTTTAAATATGAGTTTTTGATGGGGCATAAATTCTTAGCATCCTACAGGCAAAGGAATAACCTTTTTCTCCCGTTTCCCCTGGAACCTCAATGCAAGAAGTAAATTGAAGTAAAGAAGCAGATTTTCCAACTCAGTTATTTAGAGTATGGCTAAGAATGCCAGAAGCGCTCCTAGAAAGGCACTGTTTGTTAGGTTCTTCATTCATGTGATATCAGGGAGGGATGGGGGAACAGTTTTTTGAGCTTTGTTTGGCATTTCTCCTCTTGAGTTTTTTTTCACGGACATATTGGTAAAATTTACAATGCAGAGAAAAGCAGGGAGTGTGGGGAAAGCTATCTGATGCTATCTGCTTCCCCATTGTGGACTAGTGCCTACTCCAAATGAAGTACTGGCCCGACCCTAATGTTGCATTGGTTGCTTTTCCCCCTGATTTTCAGGCTGTCACTAATGCAGCTATACTCAGGGGTAGTTCATATGCCCAGAGCTGCCAATTCAAGCAGTAGGTTGTTGGCCCAACTATCTCTTCACTGCTATTGCAGAATTTGAGTGCCTAGGTTACAATGAGAGTTCTCTTCTGAATTCATTTCCCTTCTACATGTATGTGTATATATGTGTATATGTATGTATATATGCATGCATGCTTGCATGCATACATCTCTCTATGCATATATCTAGATATAGATATATAATCACCTCCATTCAAACTAACAAAAATCTCTCACACTTCCCTCCCCAAAAGACCCCCATACAAATGGAAGAATGGAAATTGATGAGAGATTATAGCTCTTATCCTTGGGGGCTGTGCCAGGAGTGGATGTATATATAAAGAAGTATAGTCTCTGAACTTCATATACATCTACAGTACATGTACATGCATATTCACACATTCTCTTAATGGTGGAAATGCTGCAGTGTAATCAGCTCTTACGTACCTAAATAATTTACAAAAATATTTTTTTGCATTTGATTTACTAAAGCCAATTTCAGTTAGCTTTTCTATTTCCTATAAACTGGAATTCCAAGTTTGTTTTGATTCAGAACTGCTGAAACCTCAGTAGCACCCACCTTATATTCCTAGCTTGTCATCAAACATCACCAGTGTTTGTGTTTTTCCCCTTCATCTTTTTTTATATAGATTACCTACCATTCTCAGGCTGTTGCTTTCATCTTAAGCCACAAAATTGCTTTATTGATTCCTGATCTTTGTGAATCCTGATACTATATCTGCTCGGATAACATGGAGGCTAGGACCTTAGCAGCCTTTTTGATGAGGCAGAAATTACAGTACAAAGACTAGTCATCATAGGAGAATCCCTGGACTGATTTTGTTATTACTGTTTCTTTTGCTCTGGCTTGACATGTATTTTATTGCTTTAATATGACTATTCCTTCAATTATTCTGTTCACTGATTTTTTTTCTCTTAATTATTCACGGCTGCTTGCTTATTTTTCTTTTTTTTATATCATTTTATGGTTAAATTCTTCATGCTCATTTGGTCAGTATGATTATTTTTCTTGGCTTCTTTTTTCACTTGACCTAGAATATTTTGATGTGGCCTTCCCTTCCCCCGTGCCCCCCCCTTCAAAGATCCTGAACACTCAAAATTCCAGTTAATGTCATTGAAAGTCACATGTAGAGTTTTGGTTGTACTTATGATCATATATCACATCTCCTTATTGTTCTCTTTATGGTTCTGCATTCATTACACAAACACAGATTGGGATCCACTCAGAATATACATTTTCCTAAAATTCTACTACTGTGCTAATTTAATTGGAAACTGAATTTGATTAACTTGAGATATAAGAATTTCAAATTGTTTTATTTTAAAATATTTTAGCTCTAAATAAGACATAAGCAATTTAATATAAATGGGTGATCAAACTACACCATTATTTCTGTAAAATGTTGAGAGAGAATCTCTAGGCTGCAAATGACAAATTGTATTCTAGTTTTCTATTGGTAAAAAATTGTAAAGGGTCTTAGAAAGAAATCAATATTAAATCATAAAAAATGTCTGATGCCAGAGATGGTATTTCCTTTCCCGTGTGATTTATCTAGTGGCTCATAGGTGATGCAATTTTGCTGGGATTTTCAAAGGTGTCTACAGTGTGCTTAACTCCTATTGTCTAACTCCTTTGGCTTCCTATGAAAATTTCAGGCCTGAAGTGTCAAGAACAGAGCTGAACACATCACAGAACTTAGATAAATCAGGGTCTCTTCTTTTGGGGAGTTTAAAATCTTGAAGTAAGTGGGGCCTGATGTGATGGAACAAATGGACTTTGGATGGAATGTAGTAAAATAAAATCTATGGTATTTACTACATTTTGAGCCTAACCTTTTACTCAGTTAAAAGAGTTTTGGAAATTCAATTTTGATTGCATGTTGACATGTTAATAAATGCCTTTGATTAAATATAGCAAGATCTATCTGTACTGAACAATGAACTTTTAAAGTTTAAAAATGCTATGTCTTCATTTATTTAGATTGCTTTAAAATATGTTTGCGTATATATGTATGCTACTTCCTTAAAATCATTATTTTTGTCTTTTTCCCTACTTACCCCAGATTGGTGTATTGGCTACCTAGAACCCCAAGTCCTGATGGGGGATTCACGATCAAGACGGTCAACTATTGTGTCTCGATTGCCAATATTCAGGAGGAGTATTAGCCGTAGACACGATTCCCTTCCTTCCTCGCCTTCCTCTGTCAATACGGTTGGTGTCCACAGTTCCTCTCCTTCTAGCACAAATTCAAGCTCGGGGAGTACAGGCAAGCGTAGGAGCATATTCCGTACTCCTTCCATTAGCTTCCATCACAAGAAAGGGAGTGAACAGAAGTCTGAATCTGCAAACCAGAATATAAGTATTTCAAATGGCGCTCAGTCTGCTCACAACAGTTTGCAGAAACTCAGCTTGGAGGATCACGTTAAAAGCAGAGGGAGACATTCAGTTGGTTTTGGCAGCTCGCGCAGCAAGAAAATAACAAGGTCTTTGACAGAGGACTTTGAAAAGGAGAAGGAGCACTCAGCTAATAAGAATGTCTTCATAAATTGCTTAAGTTCTGGTAAGAATGAGAGTGATGACTCTGGCTTTACAGAGGAGCGAAGCAGATGCTCCACTAAACAGCCCACACGAAAACTTCTCCCTAAGTCTTTTTCATCGCACTACAAGTTTTCAAAGCCAGTTCCCCAGAGCCAGTCAGTATCCTGTGTGCAACAGTCTGGATGCTTATTAGAGATTAAACCATATGTTGAATGTGAGCCTGCCACAGTAAGGTCCTCTCTTTCATGCTCTGCTGAGATAACAGAATGCACAGGAAGTTCTTTGCAATCCCCACTACTTTCCGCTGATCCCACCACAGTCCACACCCCTTCGGAGTTTTTAGCCTTGACAGAGGATTCTGTTTCAGAAGTTGATGCACCAACTAATAATGGAAACACAGGACTGCTCCCAGAGAAATTTGGCCACCATGTTTCTACCTCTCGGATGTTCCTCAACACAGCTACAGCTCACATGAGGGAAAATGAGCACATAGAAAGTACTTCCCAGCTTGTTACAGCTCCTGTGAGATGCACAACCTTATGCAATACTGAATCAAATATCTTACCCCAGACCTCTGCTGCTAATCAAATACAAGTATTATTACCGGCCACTGAACTACCTGTTAAGGATGCTGGGCATATAGGAAAAATTAACTCTGCAGATGCACAGTTAGAAACCTTAATGTTAAATTGTGCAGAAAAAACAACTGAAACCTCCCCAAAAGCACATGAATTAAGTGGTGGCCACCACGACCTAACAGGACCTGAGCACATTAAAGAAATGGTTCCTGTAACGGCATCTAAGATTCTCCCGTCGTCTTCTAAAACTCAGTTCTTTAAAGAGCAACAGGAATATGAGGTTAATCACTCTAAAGGTATGTTGTATGCTTTTGGCCTGGTTTCTTCTCTAAGAGGTATTCTGAATTACAAAGTAGATTATTTGGTGTATTGTTGCAGTTCAGAAATCATGCCTCAGGTGTAACAATTTCATCAGATTAGCACCAAAATCATGAGAATTAAGAATAAATATCCATGTTTTGGACTGTCTTCTCATGTTTTATTAATTCCTCTTGACTGTTCATAATGTATTGAACCTTACAGTGTTGCCAACCCTTGCAAATTTATGAGTAAGGTGATCTTGGCCCCTGCTGTAGGAACTGTTAGAGGTGGCAGCTCAGGTGGAGCCCTTCGTAATAAGAGACACCCTGTGCTCCAAGAATTCATAATCATGAACAAAGCTTAGCTGTAAACTTAGGCTGTAAGACACTAGAACTGGGACTAACCAAGCCCCTCTCAGTGAAGGCTACTCTGTTATATTTACTTCAAAGATTGAAGCTTGCTTTCTGGAAAAGGTTTTGTTACAAATCAAGTTCTGACCTTTTTTGGAGCTTGCAACAAACCATGGCCTTCAAGTCTTTGAACAACCAGGTAAACTCTTCTACACACCATTCTCAGCCCCTAACAGACTGTACCTGTTGTAGCCTGTTCCTACTGGGAGAGTTTCTGTTGACCAATATGCAATCATAAAAAAGGTAAAACAAGTATTACTATACAAATTCACTTCTAAATAGATTTTTTTGTGATTATAAAATCATTTCAAGAGTTAATTCATGGTTCATATATGAACCCTTCTACACATAGGTAGATTTTTCATACTACCTCAGCAGAGTTCACCTTGTAACCACTGCACAGATGTCTTCAGTTGGAGCAATAAGAGTAACTGGAAGCACAAAGTATGCTGTTGTAATTTTATATAAAACAGTGCCTGTAGGGAGAGGCAACAGGCATGTTGCTATGGCTTACAGAAGTATTTTATGAGGCATTGGTGAAAACCAAACTTCTGGATTCTTGGTTTCTGTTTCTGACCCTGGAAGCAGAACCAGATGGTGGCATAGTAGCTGCAGATGAATGTTAACAGTGATCCTGCTACGGTCATGAGGTGAGACTGAGTGCAGAACTTCTGGCTGTAAAAGTTGAGCTCCCAGGACTTCTCAAAAACCTGTACCTTTAGGAATAGAAAATACAGCAGCATCATGAACTTTTTATATAGTCTAGCTGTGAGAGGGTGACCTGGTCACCTCCTGTTAATGTGGATAACAGAAGCCCTTTGCATGTTCTTTTTGAAAGATGGTATGAGAGAGTGCAAAAGGCTTGCCCCTGTTAGAGATGGAAGTCCAATAGCATCCACATCTTTATCTGATGGTGTTGTACAAGCTCTGTTACCTTCTCTGGGATGCATGGAAAAGATCTCCTCCTGAGTTGTCCTATGTGTCTTTAGTTTATCATCATCATCCTAATACTTTTGACATATGTCTAGCCACAGCAATTAGTGGAAGAGCTGTGTCTCTAGGCTTCAATTTAAGGACAGGACATTGTGTGGGACTAGCTTGCTTCCATATTTTGCTTCCTCAAGGCAACATGAAAGTTGGGCCTTTGGCAGAAGCATCAGCTACCTGCAGCTGTTGCCAAAATTTTCATTACTCACAATAAATGAATGAGGGTTGGCAAAAAGAATGCATGGAAGCAAAAAGAACTTGCAAATACATATTTCCTCAAACACATTAACTATGTATATAGACTGGGTTTAAAGGTGGGCATTTCTTCATATTTTCTTGCATGTATGCATTTCTGGCATTAAAATAGCTGTCTCACAGGTGACTGGCACTGTCAGGATATTTAGCTTTTGTTATAGGGAACATTTTCAACACTGAAGCCTACCCAATTTAAAAAATACTATTAGTTTTAGATATTACACCTACCTGAGCCTCACTGGGCTCGTGTTGACTGTCGTACTAGCTTGATCATTGTCTAAACTTAAGTAATTAATTTTCTCTTGAGCTGTATTAAATGAAAGCTCAATTTGGAAAAATTACCCCAAATGAAAGGCGGCTAGGTTGCCCTAAAGTTTTTTTTCTTACTGCAGGCATGTAAACAGTTACTCTGCTGACGAGCAGATGTCATTTTTATTATGGGATCATCTGTGACAGGATGTCTCCTGTCACAGTGGATCGGATGCATTGGCTAGAACAGATATTGCCTGGGCCCTGCTGTTTCTGGGGCTTCAGAGGCCTGATCCTATAGGACGCTGGCCGAAGGTGCCTGGACCTGACCTGGGGCATGCTTCTGCAAACAGAGTGGAGAACTCCATGGGGTTCCCTTGCTGGGCAGCATGAAATGTGCACCCCGGAATCCCCTGCCTGGGACATCTGGAAAGTACAGGCAGCCTCAGGTTGTGGGGATTGTGCCATAACCAAATAGACTTCCCCTGCATTTGAGATGCAACAAGGGTCAAGAATGTCTGTTTGCTCACGTTTTATGCTGCCATAAAAATGTTTCTGCTATGACAAGGGCAACATCTGTTTGCAGCTTCTGTGTTAGCTGTTCCACAGTAATTCCTTGGCCCCGTTAACTTGTGTTACTTTGATTGTTTACATAGGCCTCGCTGCATTTCTGTTTGGATGCCAGCAGCACTCATGCTTCAGCCTATCTTACTGACAAATCAAATATCACTTAATTCAAACGAAATTTTTGTGTGCGCGCAAAAATTGGGTAAAGGGCCACTTATGTGTAGCTAACATGAGATGAATTGCTGTCATGTTATGATTACATTTGCCTATTCAAAAAGAAAAGATGTGTGTTTTTTTCCCTCCTTTTTGGTGTGCAATGAAAAAGTTATTTAAAATAAAAAGCTGTATGACCAAGTTTAAGTTTATGCCCCTCTTGCAAAAAAATTCCAGAATATAGATTCAATGCAAAATCTTCATGTTTTAATAAATTCAAATAAAAAATGTTCTTATTTGACTGATAGGGATGGCAATTCAACCGTTTTTGTTGGAAGTGATATACAGTTTTAGACTGGACAAGGACTGAGCTATGGATTGTTTGAATAGAGTGATAATCTGTATATTTCTTTATACGTTTTATATTCCAGCATATAACATTAGTCTAAACTTTTTAATATATCACTATCCACCTATTCCCTATTAGTAAAAGAGGAAAGGTTGTCTATACTGCCATGCTTTTCTTATGCTTACATCCTGCTTGTTTAGATTTTTTTTTGTCGTGGGGAGAAGTTCATATTTTCCCTTTTCCTCAATATTATACCATTTAACTATGGGTGGGAGGTGAGTGGGAAGGGAATTCAGCTTGCCAGCTGAATGATAAATGTAGGCTGGTGTCAGGCTCTAGTTTTGTTTGGCCAAGACTGGGTAAGTTGGAAAGAGGTCAACCCCTGTGTGTCTGAACCTTGCACAGTGGTAATGAATGGAGCTCCTGTCCTGAAATGAGTGTTTCCCATTGTTGCGATCTGGCATGCAAGGTATGTCCAGTAGGGCTGTGTGAGGCTTCGGACCCTGCTTCGGATCCGGAGAAGCTTTGGACACTTCAACATCCGAAGCAGCATGTCTGGATCAAAGTTCTGGCTTTGTTAGGCTTTCCGAAGCGGTTCGGAGCTTCCGAAGCAGTTCAGAAAAGCTTCGGAGCCGCTTCAGCTGGATCGAAATGGAAACCTGGTCCGGAGCTCCAGATCGGATTGCTGGCATCTGAAGCAGCCGGATCCAAAGCCAGATCAAATAGCTGCCTACTCTCACAGGCCTAATGTCCAGTCATATATTAATAAGCTGGGAACATCTGGGCACTGTCTTCTGGAACATTTATGGTACTGTAGGCAGCTGAAAGCTGAGCCTGCTCTGAAGAGCAAGGAAAGCCAGTCAGGTTTTCTTTATCAACAAATTATCTGGAAAGAGTTCTTTCAGTGCCTAGTGTAGTGCAACAGCTCAGCAGCTGAGTGTCCTGAGAGGGGGAAAGAGAGGAAGGGAAGGCAAGACCTTCTGGAGAGTGGGAAATAATGTTGTGAGCCTGATGGCTGGACAAAAATAAGTGGACCATTAGGTAAAACCCAATGGATTGGCGACTGACAGTATTACGTGTGCGCCTTTTTATGAAAAAATAGCCAGGAGTTCTGTACTAAATGAATAACCTCCATTCAACTGAAACTGTTCAGTCAATGTAAAGTTTTTGCTGATTGTTTTTCTGTTTGTAGTTGATCTTTCCAGTAGCTTCAGTCCATACCGAGAAGGCAGATTCATAGAAAAACGCCTGAGGTCCTCTTCAGAAGGAACTGCTGGAAGTAGCAGGTTGATAGTGAAACCAAAGGAGGGAAACACAGAGGGACATAATAGTCTACGAAAGCAGAGAACAAGTTCCTCTTCTTCAAAAATGAACAGCATGGTAAGTATATTCTCACAAACGTGGTCTGCAGTGGTTTTTATTACTCTACCTTTTCCACAACACCTTTTCACTTTTAATAAGCTAAGTGAATGTGGTGGGATGAACAACTGTATGTACAGTGAATAGAATACTAAGTCTTATCCTAGGTGAGACTATAATCACAGAATATGTTAAACTGAACTCTTAACTATATTAACTACATTTAAATACAGCTACAGTTTAGGATAGAATAAACCTAGGTCTATCGTTAGTACCTGATGTGTTTTAAGTCTGTAAACTTTCTGTTGTGGGATGTTTTTATAGTCCTGTATCTGTTCTTTTGGCTGGAGATTTAAAGTGGGAAAACTTTGGAAGAAATATGATTAGTAATGCCTTGGTATTAAAAAGGACTGATTACAACTTGTGCCAACACTTGTAACTGTGAGCCAAATTAGGTTGATGATTATTCGGGGAACACAAGTCCATGAAAAAGGGCTAAGCTACCATGGGATACCTTTGATTTACTTTTGGAGAACGAGTGTGCAAATAGGCAGTTACTTTGTACTAGCTAACGTGCATATGAGCAATTAGTGGCTGATGTGCTGTAAATCGCCACCCTCATTTACTTGGTGGTAACTTGTTCATGTGCCCATGACCTAATTGTAAGTATGTAGGGTCTGATTTTCTGCTCCAATGCATCAGGTTGACGCTGATGAGATTTTTTGAATCATGATGGTGTAGACTTGGTGTAAGACCCCTAGGGATGCAGAAAGTAAATTATGTGTAATAAGACTAATTTCAAAGGGCTGAATTCTTCCTTTCCATAGACAATTCAGTTGCAGGGATACATACTCAAAACTTCGGGAGTAGAGCAGGGAAGAAAGGAGAGACAAGTATCTGCTTCTAAAAAATCCTACTTCATCTGTTAGTTTTGGGATATTGAAAAACATTCTTCTGTATATGAAAGTATATATTAAAAGAGAGTGAATTTTAATTTAAAAGTTATTTGAATTTACATAGAATTAAAGGAAGTGCAGATCATGAGTCTACATTCTGAACAAGTTGCAAACAATAGGAAGGCTCTTTAAGGTGGAAGAATTGACTAAAAGAAGCATTATGACTGAAATGGAGGTATTTGCAAGATTGTGATGGATTAAATAAGGGATCAGCCTGTACTAGCATTTGAAAGACAACTTTCCATGGCAAGGACATGATGGAAAGCAACTCAGAGTCTCAGCCCTGCTTGCCACTGCTGACCTAATTTGTTAATAAGAAAAAAGAAAAAATGTGTTTATAATGTCGTTGTCCACGATGCTGGAAGCATCATCAGTGCTGAAGTGAGGATGGTATGAAAATGCATTAGAGGGTCAGATTTTAATACAGTTGCCCTTTTGCAGGTAGGCTTTTTCTCAATGATTGGGTAGTCAAGTAGTTTTACAAGCAGTAAGTACTTATACAACCCAGTTTCCTTGTTTCCCAAAAGCTTGCTGTTGTTGATAGCACAACTTGATGGTTCTCTCCATGTGAATAACCAAGACAAAGCTGCATTAAATTATTTCCCAGCTAGCAGCATCCTGTGATCTGTCCTTAAGCTGAGTATAATCTTCTGGATTTTCAGGAAATTGACTTCATCTTAGGTGACTTCTCCTGAGTATACTACTGAAGTGGAAAGTGATGCAGAATTTGGGGCTCTCCCCTAAAAGTATCAGAAATTTGTACATGATTATGATAGCTCTGACCCATCTGGTCAGCAGTGTCATCTGAACATTCCTCTGTGGCATATGCTGAACTAGCCAATTCACCAGAGAAAAGTGCCTTGTCAGGAATGAATGTAACCTTATTCATTGCTGATCTCTGCATGACTTAAGATTCCTGAGGGGGGTGTGTGTGTGTGTGTGTGTGTGTGTGTGTGTGTGTGTTGCTAGTGTACTTCTGAGTATAAATGGTAAGAACATTTGAGTTAACTGTCGTGTTCATGTGGCTTATAGCCACTACACACATTTGGAATAGTCTGAGCATCATTTATTAGCTAAACCTACATGAGGATCAAGAATTTTTATTATCAACCTCATCATCACCATCATTAGTAGTATCAATAATAATTAAATTATATAATATTGTAATATACCATTTAGAGTAGTATTATATCTCTTTGTTCTCTTGTCCACAATGTTTTCAGTGGGCACAAATACTTTGATAAGCAATACAAACTTTGTCAGCCTGAAAAAAACCCCCTGGTAACATAAATCACTGAAATAGTAATACTTACAAAAATCTAAGGCCCCTGGCAGAGATTACACTTAAGACGTGATTAACCAGTTAATCATATCTTAAGTAGTAGTATAGCCCCATGTTCATGCAATTAGTCTTATTTTGCTTGTGTGGCTGGTCTAAATTTATTGCGTGACTAACCAGTTAACTGCATAATATATGTGACAAGCAGCAGGGGCCTAGGTTTCTGCTATCTAAATGTGATTACATTCAGTGTCACACATTTTGGTATTAGCTGTGCCATCCTGGAATTGGTAATGTCCTTGGCATCATAAAATTAGGAAAAGTAGTTATAGTTTTCATTGTAAACTATACAATAGTATAGTTGTTTTTACTTTCTTAGCAAGATTTTCTCCAAACGTATGAAGATGAGATGATACCTTTTTATGTGTTAAGGTAAACATTTGCTATTTTACTTTGTATTTAAAAAAAACTCTCACTCAATTAAAACCTACATGAGTAAACAAAGACTTCAGGAAGTAAAGGTGGGGCAACCCCCCCCTGAAAAAAACCAAAACTTCATGTTAACAGAGCTGAATATTAACAGTTCAAGGATTGCCTCTTCAGACTACTTGTCACAAGTAATTAATTTTCAGTTCACAGAATGTCAACATCGTAGCAGAATGTCGCAACTGAATGATCTACTGAAAAATGAATATTCTGCAAGGGCAATGGCTTGAAATTTGATATTGCCAAACAAAGTAGTATTAACATAATTAAAATTCCATCAATTTGTATCCAGGAGTACCAAAGTACTTTATAAATAGTGCATAATTATAAACCTTTCCTTACTCCTGTGAGGTAGTAAGCAAAATTACAAACATTTTGTATTGTGACACTGGATTTGTTTCAACAAACATTAATAAGTAGGGAGAAACTTCCAATAAGTCAAAAAAGATATGAAAAGCAGTTTCTCGAATTTTAAGTCCATGTGAGAATGCATGGGTTTCCCTGATGATGGCAGCATTGCTTTTCCATTTTACTCTGTGGAGCCAGATGGTGACTACAGATATCGGATTCTTGGCATCATTCAGAAGTCATGTTAAACAGAGGAAGCTTTATAGCTAGTAAGATACCCTTTCCACACAATGGAAAGGAAGGCCTTTTTTGTTGCTAGCAGCAAATGACAACTTTGCATTCCTCTGTTGTATAGCTACCGGGGATCAGAAGCCAAAAGAACTGATGCGATACTAGATTTTCACAGAGTATGGAGAAAAGGGTAAGGTGCCTTTGGGGACATCTAGGAATCTGTTGTTCTTTAGGCAAGTGTAACTGAAAAACTATTTTTCCCTGAATCGCAACACTTTTCTATAGGACTCTAGCTAGAAGCTTGGACAGTTGAGCATATTGAACATCCTAAGCATGTGCCTAATCTAAAACTGTGTGCACCTTTCCCTCCTTAGGGCAGAATGCCTTAAAATGCAGGATACATCAAAGAAAATTAGATCCCAAAAAAGAACACATTTTTGTGTGTGCGTGCGCGTGGGTGCGCGCATGTGTGTGCGTGTAGGAAATGACAATAGGAATATTCCAAAATGGTTCTTTTTATGCAAATCCTTAAACTTAACTGTAATGAACTGTAACTATAAACTGAACTGACTATTAAGTTTTAACTTTACCTCTCAGGTTATAATGCATTTCTATATTCTATTTTTTTGAGCAAGCATTACTTTAAAAATAGTCATTCATGTAGTGACTTCCTTTTCCCACAAGATGTTGATATTTCAGGAGAAAAAAATTAAATACAATCACACAGTACTTAATTAGCAGAAATAGTGGGTTTACCATTTCATAGTTAATAATGCATAAGATTTTAAGCTGAAGGACAAAACACTTATTTTTGGAACCATTTAATGTTGATGAGAGTGTAATATGACGGTCTATTCAAATGAACAGTTAGTAGGGCAGTTTGGAATTAAGAAGATATACTACTACAGAACTTCAACTCAGTTAGGAAAGCTCAATTCATAAAGTTATTACTTGGGACATTTAAAATAATAAGACTCATCATGGAAGTAACTTTGAATACACCCTTTAAGATGCACAGAAGTTAAACCTACATCCATGCCCAGGTTCCACACTCAGTTCCTCCCCCCCCAGCGTCTCTGGGAAAATAAACATACAATATAAAAAATAGCATGGTTAAAGAGCAGAGAGCAAAATGTAGCCCAGCTGAGAACAATAGCAAGGAAGTTAAATCACAACAGGTGAAGTGTAAAATGGAAATCAGGATGACTAAGAAGGGGTGTTGAAAGCAAACAGCAAAGACAGAAATCAATTCAAAGAAATTATTGGAACATATTAGGATACAGAAGCCTATAAAGAAAAAAGAGTGCATCGGCTGGAATATTAGGACTCAAAGGTAGCAATCAAGATGAGTAAGAACATTGCAGAACATCAAAATCATTTCTTTGCTTTGCTGTTCACTACAGAAGGTGATGGGGAAAGATAGCTATCCCAGATGTGCTCTTTGCATTATTAGATATTAAGATGTCAGGAGGCACCGTGTTGAAACATTGATTTAAGTTGCAGGGAGTTACTAGAACCAGATGGTTCTGGTCAGGGTTGTAGAGGATTACAAGAACAAAACAGCTGAATGAAGTGGAAAGCAGCTTATATTATATTTACATGTATTAAAAATAATCCCCAATTGGCCATTGGACCACAGTGTATGTCATATTCACTGTGCTTCAGACATCGGTTTCTCTCTGTCTGGGTAGTCCTAAATCCTTATTTTGCTTAAATAAGAT